TGCTTAGTAGCTGAATGCCAGACTGGTAAGATTAGAACTTAAGACTAGTAAAGCTCATTTACAAGCTAATTTGCAAAGCTCCTTCTCTACACTAAAATTCCAGGTCATGTATTCTCTCTGCTGGAAACAAAAGGAGGTTTTGGAGGATTGAGGTCTGTACAGCTGTCTGTAAACAGCCTGTACTTATGTAGCATAAAGGAATCATACTAAAGCAGTCTATTATGGTCTGGTTATGATGGTTGAAACTCAGTACTGCAGTGCTGTTAAACTGGATGGATTCAGAAACAGTGGAACGTCCTCCCTCTAAACTAGTAGTATCTTAAAAGGAGCAAATGTACCTGTTAGAGATGGGGAAGGTGTTTATGTTTGTCATGTAGTGTTTTGTTTTGGTTTTAGCCTTTGTAACAACTTTGGGGTTGTTGGGGGCTTTAATTTGGTTTGTTGTTTGTTTTTTCCCTCAGCAAACTTGGTTAGTTTGGGGTGAGATAGGAAAGAGGGAGTGCTCTTTGAAGAGGTGGAACTTTGGTAAATTGAACAACAACAAAAAGAGCTGAGAATTTAAGAAAGTGAATATGGTACTTGCTTTGGCATAGGGAAAAATTAGATCATTGCAAAGATCATCATATCATAAGGTTGATTTGAATCTTGGCTTCCTATGAAATATTTAATAAGACATTTGTGAGAACTTTGTGAGAGTTGTCAACACTGGAAAAAATTAGGACTATTTTAGTTTGCAGTGGTCTTTTAATTTATACATAAAATTTTTCTGCCCTGCTCCCCGCCCGAGTTTTCTTAATCAGACTGAGTGGGAAACATGTAATTGTTTAGTTTCAGAGAGGGAAGAAGGAAAATAGATTTTGAAATTTCAGCGTTTCTGTGTTTGGCAGAACTGTTTTAACATACTTTAATAAAGTAGGTATTAGCAGAGGCACACATCTAGGATATTCATATTGTTCACCTCTCCTGGGACATGGCTTTAATAAAAAGCATAAGGTTCAGCGTTAGTATTTTAAAGTATGGAATAACGTGGATGATTTTATGATGTTTTAACATACTTTAATAAAGTAGGTATTAGCAGAGGCACACATCTAGGATATTCATATTGTTCACCTCTCCTGGGACATGGCTTTAATAAAAAGCATAAGGTTCAGCGTTAGTATTTAAAGTATGGAACAACGTGGATTATTTTATGATATAGAAGGCTTTTTTAAAAATGCTTAAATAGCTATTCATTCTTGGTAGAATGGACAAGTCCAGAAAAAGATGGTGGTAGATTTGCAAACTGTATTTTGAGTACTATACGTGTTTCAGTATAGGGATTTTTACTTCATCTTATTAAATATTCTTATGAAATCTTATATTCAGTAATGAAAGTGGTTTATGCTAAGCTTAAGCTTTGACTCAGACCAACAAATAAGAGGAAATTGGGTCTAGCCATGGCACTTCTAAAGTCCCATGAGAGAAGCTAAGGCAGTGTAGCTTCTGCAGCGTAGAAATGGTCCATGTGCATCATCTCCTTGCCATCCTCAGCTGTGCACACCTGCTGTTGCCTCTGCATCAGCTCTGGTATTCATCTCACCACTCTTCAGTCTGAAAAAATCAGTGGAAAGCCAACCTAGAATCCTCTTGGTTTGCTGAATGAGCTCGCTGAAGAGTGGAAGACTGGACGGTCAGAAGGATGGAAGGTCAAGCTGTCTCTGACCTACTCCTTTAGGTCTTGATCATAAACGCACATTTATGTGGGCTTTGTTTCAATTGATTGGACTTTTCATAGATTTGACTAATCTGATTCAGGACATTGTGAAGGCCTTATCTTTTCCTCGATTTCGACAGCTTTTGATGATCTCATAGGAGTACAAAGCAAAGTGTGTGTGTGTGCATGTGTCGGAAAGATCAGCTTTAGATTTTTAGGTTTCCTTTTCACTTAGTATCAGCAGTTGAACTAGTTTTGTGAAATCATCTTTTCAACATTGATCGCCTCAATTATAGTACAAACTCATTCAAACCATGATGACAACAATGATGACAGATTCAGTGGTTTACTGAACTGTTTAAAAGATAACAAACAAATGCTGGTAGCAGGTAGAAGACTAGGCTTTTGCAGTGAGCAACGTTTAACTGGAAGTATTGTAATTGTTCCCATGGTTCATTTTGGACCAGGGTAAATTGGAAATATTGTGGTCCTGTGTACTATTAGACTTGCACATAGTTCAGGATCTTGCACAACTGTGTTCTTTCTCAGGATTTTAGAAGCCTCTATTAAGTTTACTTTAAAATACCAATCACTAATGCGTACAGGTGGGAATTTAGCCTGTCAGAATATGTAAGCCACTGGTGTTTTTTCAGTTCATACTCACTACAATATTTTCTGAGTTCAGAATGGTCAGAATAGGGAAGAGATGCTGATCAGTGTGTAAGGGTACATAGCTCAAACCAGTGAGCCTTAAATAAATGCTTCTTTTGCTGAAGAATGAAATACTTTCAAGATGATTGAAACCCATGGATTTCTAGCTTTCACAATCAGAGATGAGTATTTTATCCCAGTAAACCTTGTTTTTGTAGCTATGTTAGGGTATCTACACAGTTATTTTGGGAAACCGGTACAGATATGCTTTAGAATGCATGGGATCCTGGGGCATGTAAGATTGCATGGTGCGTTATTCACCAGGCATTCTTTTTTTGACTGTACACCTGGAATGTTTGGCTATGCTACTATAGCTTCGTGCTTTTTAAAAATCTTTTAATCAGTTAGATTCCTCAGTGGACGTATTTCTCCCTTCATGACTTTTAAACTGCTTAATCCCATGGTATATTTAATATTAATCCCCCATGCAGAACTTGAGCATGGTTCTCAATTGAGCTCTAACATGCTCTCCAGTGTGTACACACACACACGCATATATATAAAAGCTTATATAAAAAAGTTATCCTAAAATGTTTAAGAAGTTCTCAAGTAAATGATAATATGGAAAATGAAAATGTTCACATCTAATCTTTTTGTGTGTGTGTGATTGCCATATTCAGGGATGTAGTGTTCATTTATGGAGTGCCTAACAATTCATTGATATTGGAAGGAAATGATTTTTTTTTTTTGAATAAAGCTTGAATAGCTGAAACCAGATAATAAAGCAGAATAAGGCGATGGTATTACTTCTCTGATAAAATGCAAGAAGGAAATAAAATAAGGAGTTATGTAAATACTTAGGTGAGGTTCTCTAAATGACCATTTTAATGCAACAAAGAAATAGATTCTTTAGAAGAGATGCACTCTTTCGTGTGTGTCCCGTCCCGTGTCCAACCCCCCCCCTCCCCGCTCCCTTGGGGTAGTGTCTTTGCTCATATGCTGAGAATCACCTTTTGCCGTATAGAAGCTATGGATTGAATTTGGTTTTAATCTTTGGATATAAGATGTAAGGTGAAGGAAAGAAGCGAGATAAAAGGGTGAGGAAAGTGTAGTGGAAGAGAAGAATTAGGATTTAAATTGAAAAACTTGTAGGTAGGAGAGTGTTGAGTGCTATGGGTTTTAAAAAGTTACAAACAACTTCATTGTATAGGATTTTACTTTTCTGCAGGTTCTAAATTGGAACATAATTTGCATAAATGAGGATTTTTAGTTTTAAGAAAAAACCCAGCCATATTTAAGTGTAATTTTTGTATGTTAAAATCCATAAAAGCAAATGATAGTGCATGGAAGATTTTTGCTGGCTCCTTAACCCACTCGAGAGCCTACGTAGGGCAACGGGTGCTATAGCAGTGGCTCACATAACAGTAATGTATATAGTACTTTGAATATCCTCAACACTAGTCCGACACAAATCATAGTTGCATGTGATACTGTACACTGTGTTATGCCTTATTAACTCTGAAACTTTTCCCTTTGTTCTGAAATGTATTGTTTCCTTAAAAAAAAAAAGTTTGCTAACATTTTAAAGGTGTGGTTATGTCACTGATATCTCACTTCATCAAATAATTGTTAGTTTAATGCATGTGAAATATTCCCCAGAGGTGAATGAGAATACTGTTTTCTTAAAATCTTTCTGGTTCACCGTGAGTTAATGACTTCAGTGTCTACTGACAAAAATGATACCAAAAGCTTGGTTTTTTCCTCATATATTAAATACTGTTAGCATGTACAAAGAAGAAGGTAAATGTTTTAAATTATTTCCTGATTATACAATATTTTTATTATGGTTTAATTGATATTGTCAGTTTTCAGCACAGTGAACGTTTATAAGTTTAGGCAGCTTTGTGATCTTGGCAGAATTTCATGAAGGGTTTTGCAACTATCTATCAGTGTGAAGCTAAGGCTACAGTCAGCCTTTTAAGTTGACTTTATATATTGGAGTTTGGAAAGTTTTGAAAGTTACAGTTTTTAATGCTAAATTAACTGTTAATTGAGATAATTAATTTACCAAGCTGACTGACTGTTTAATTTTGGTGTATATACCTTCAGTGCTTGTAGTCCATTCTGCATACAGTATATCAACATTATTATTTTTTTTTCTGAAGAGGTTTGAAGGGATTTCCAGTAGTCATTAGCCAGAGCCATGGCTCAGAACTTCTGATCAGGTCAGGAAAAGAACAAAAAAGTATTTTTCTGGACTTGACCTCAGTATGTGTGTTGGTAACCTACACAGAGTAATTTTTATGATGCTTCCACCTGCAGAGTTACCTCAGGTAGCACATGCTGATTTGGGAAAAATGGACTTGGTCCAAGAGAGCTCAATGGCTTGCAATTTAGTTAGGGATTGTTGTTGAGAAATATGAAGAAATTTAATATCTAAATACATAATTCCATCTATCTGTATTTTCTGTATCGTCTATTGTTAGTCTGACTCACATTTTATGTTTTATACCACTTTGATTCTTGTTTCCAGTAAATCTCCATGTTTGTACAGTTTATTTCCTTTGGCAGTTCAGCTCTTGGGGGAAAAAGGATTTAGTTGTACTATATATATTCAAAACCTTTGTGTTTTGTGTGGTTTTTTTTTTTATTCCAGTTATCTAGAAAAGTATGAAAAAGTCCATCATTTTGGGGAGGAGGATGATGAGGTACAACCAGGCAATCCAAAGCCACAACTTCCTATTGGTGCAATTCCAACTTCCTATAACTACCAGCAACACAGTGTGTCAGGTAAATTTTTGAGGAAAAAAGTGCTATTTTTTCCATATACATACGTGTATATATATATGTATTTCAACAGGCCACAGAAATAATATGTAGATAAATTTTTAAAATTATTATAATGATCAAATCTGTAGGTCACGCAAATTATTAGTTTAATATACTCAAAAACCTTTCCACTGTGAACCAAACCCAAATAAATATGAAAATCCATAAACTGTTTCTCTTTCTAATTAGCAGGGCTAAATAGTGACTTGTCTTGAAAAAATGCACCTTGAAAATTCGCAGATTATGGTTCTGTCACATCAGTCATTTCTCTACAGAGCCAAATACCTGAATTGAGTATACAATTAATTAAGCTTTAAAATCTGAGGAATGAAGCACATGTGTAAGGAGCAAGGTTCAACACGATTATAATTAAGAGACCAAAGTATCAAAACTTGAACCAGTAAACAAATCAGAAGCTGGTGGACTCTGTGGCATGGATGTGTAATTCATTGTGTAGAAAGTGACTCCAAATTGTGTTAAAGTTCTATTGTGCTTTAATTGAAGTTTGCATTTTCAAAGCTTTTCTTTGAGAGAACAAACTGCAGTATTGCATTCTGGAGATGATGAAGGAATTAATACTAACTGGAAAGGTACGCAGCTAAGTAGAATGTGTTCAGCATTTTGGCCAAAGACTAATGGAAAAAAATAAATTGAGTACTGTAAAAACTTGTTAAAAGCCACAATACCTTATTAATAAACTTAAAATTACTTATTGTTCCTGATAATATTGCTTAATGTATTATCTGAATATTAATTAGTTTAGATATGAAAACATTGGTTTTTGTTTTTTTTCCTTATTTAGATTATCTTCGTCAAAGCTATGGGCTGTCTATGGACTTAAACTCACCAAATGACTATAATAAATTGGTGCTTTCACTGTTATCTGGACTCCCAAATGAAGTGGACTTTGCAATTAATGTATGTACTCTTCTTTCAAACGAAAGCAAGCATGTTATGCAGCTTGAAAAGGATCCTAAAATCATCACTTTACTACTTGCAAATGCTGGGGTGTTTGATGACAGTAAGTATATAACAACATTTTTTAACAGAAAGAATTGATACCTGTTGTAGCATCTTTTACAACCCTTGATTGATAATGAAAGTGTTTGTAACTTATTGCGCTGTAATATATCCAGTTTTTACTTTGTCCACAGTTACAGTTTTTTTCAGATGTTACAAATACCTTTTAAGTTAGGTAATTTAAAACAGTGTTGTTTAACAGTTCAGTGATAGTTTAATTGTCCAAGATGCTCAAATTCACAGCATTGGATTTGATTTCCATCCACCTGTAGCATATTACTGCTTTCTTCTGAACGTGTAGGACCATGCTGACTTTTCATAATTCTTTTCTAGTAGCAGTCAGAAATTTAACAATTAAAAAAGGGCAGTCTGAAAACAATGACCCACTAGGATTTTTATCCTGATACTTCACTACACATTCAAGTGTAGTGAAATTCAGAATACAAGAGGTAAAAATCTTAATCTGAGTTTCAGAATTACTTAATGTGTTAGCACATAAATTTTAAAAGTGAGTCTATTCCATCAAAATATTTCAGTATGTGAAATAAATTCTTCTGACTTGTTCAGTGTGACCTCCATGCCAAATTGTTCCTTGTTAATTGCTTGTTTGTCTTTCTGTCAAGGCGGGGGTGAATAAATTAACCCAAACCATCCTAAAATCATAACAGCATAGCTCCCGTCTTGTGGTGGTGAGGAGGAAGTATTTATTTGGTTTATGTATTTGGTTTGTGTTTTTTTTTTTTTGGTAGTGAATTTCAGAAATTACCACCATAAGAAATTGCTCAATTGAGCTTTTTCAGCTAAGTATATTTAAGTCTGCTAGTACAGATGATCATATCTGAGTATAAATCTACTTTGCATGTGTAAGCACAAACGTAGTATGATTATGTCAGGAGATTCTGTTTTAAAATTCTGGGGAAGAATCAGTGTTAGACAATGTGTACTGTTTGTTGGGTTTTTTTTTTTTCAATCATTAGCATTTTTACATAATGATTTGTAGCTTCCCTCTCCTCCCCCCAACATTGCGTTAGTGGTCTCCAGCTTCTCTCTCTGTTTTTGCTTTCTACCTGTGCCCTTCAGATATGGTTAGATCATTTAGTGTGTGCAGTCACAAGAACTTTCAAAGAAACATATTTGAAAGGAAGCTAAAGTGAAGCTTAGTTCTGAATGTTAGTGATTGCAGGATGCTTGCTCTCTGGATATTTGAGTTTACCATCACTCCTCTGTTCTTTTGATGGAACTTGCATGGACTTAGGTGTTTACAAATAATTTGGTCAAGTTTTGTGTTGCTATTTCATTACTTTTTTGGATGTTGCAAAGGTAGACAGTGGGTTTTTTTGAGTTCTTAACTTGGAATCTGAGCACAGGCTTGTTCCATAGCTGGTCTGTATTACTCCTTACATTGAAAAATATTTGAGGTAAAGCCGAGAGGAATGACGAGCATGTAGTGGACTTGCTCTTTTCATTCCCTGGGGAAAACTTCATTTTTATCTTACCTGATTACATCTTCTGGATAAATCCAGGGAGTGTCCTGGCAGCATTAGGTAAATTAATTGGGACAAATTCGTGAAAGAGAGGGGGTGTGTGTTTACTTATTTTTGAAGCATAAAACTTTGATTTGAAATGCTTACATGCTTTTGTATTATAAATAATACAATCTGTCAGGTTTGGTGATTAAATGAAATCTCAAATTAGCAAATTCAGGTAGTATGAAAATACTGTCACAATGGTTTCAGGTGTAAATAAAAGATAGCTGATTAACTTTATTTAATGTGAGTTTTAGATTTGGCTTGTCTATAATTAAGGTTTTATCATTGTTAGTATTTATCATGCAGTGTTTCTAGGTAACAAGTAAAATAAGTCTTCAGCTTTTTTTTTCCCTGTACAGTTTGAGATCTCAGTTACATTGCAGGTGATAGGACAACCCCAGGGGGTTGGGGTGCTTCGTATCTTCAGTTTGGAGTGCTGCATAAGCCTTCATTTGGATTCTATGAGTTGAAAGCTGATGTGGTCTTGGAATTGAGATTTGTAGCAATTTGCTCAAAACAATAAAGCATTATGACCGAAAAGTGTAACTTAAACCTGTCATTAGTTCATTACAGAACTACTGCAAGACAGAGTGTATTTTTGGATCAGCTCAGTCGTTGAGTCAGATTGATGGAGTCTTTGCTGCTTTCAAGAAGTGATAATTAGAAAATTTGTAGTAGTGGCTCTACTAAACACCCAAGATCATCCTTTATGCTTCCTGGTTAAATACTGACTTTGAATTCAGTGCTGTCAAGATCTCACTGCTACTGTTACATTTTTTAGAAAACATTAGTGGGAATTTGTTTAATTACTAAAGTAATGTTTACAAGTTACACAGTGCACATGGAAAACAGATGATGTGTGGTTGAAAAATTGATAGTGATCATGACTCCTGGAAAAGAGCTGTGGAAAAGTTTCCCATGTGTTTTTGAAAGGGTTCACAAACTAGTCCATTCTTTATGGACTACTTACTCTCAATTTAAACTGTAAAACTGCAGTAGTAGTTAATTACATTACTGTAGAAATTTCCGTTGGTTTATGCAGGACTTTTTAATGAAAAGGAAATACTGGAAGAGTCTGTAGTGTTGTTGAAGCTTTATTTAGTTTATGGATTAGTTAAAAGTCAAACAAAAATGTTCACTTTTGGTTTTTTGTTTTTTTTTTTTTTTACTAAATTCTTTTTATGCTTAAAGCTTTAGGATCATTTTCTGCTGTATTTGGAGAAGAATGGAAGGAGAAAACTGATAGAGATTTTGTTAAGGTAATTTAAAAATTATTAAAATAATTTTGAACTGCATATGATGGGTATCAAAACCTTTAAAAAGATAGAAAATTGTAAGATATACTAGCATATGTCTTTAGAATTACTCTCAGTGTTATTCCTTAGATTTAAGTATAACAGGACACTAAATCACAGTTGTCATAAAATGTTTGGATAAGCAGGAGGAAATGTATTAAGAAAAAATAGGTGTAGGCAAATGAATAAAGAGGTTCCATGTTTCTTTTTATAAGCAAGCTAGTATGTGTGAGGAAGAGGAAGATTGGCCACCATATTTAGCAAGAGAAAGCAATGATTCTTTTTTTTTTTAAACTGCCACAATCAGTAAAGAATCATTCTGAATTATGAAAATTAAGTCCGTAACGTAAGAAGCATAGGACAAATTTAAATAAGTAGGCAATGTTGCAAGTTTGTTTCAGTTAAACTATTTTTGCACAAGGCTTTTTTATCTTTCCACTAGAGGGCATGATCTACTGTACAAGTAATGAAATGAGGTAAAAATAGAACTAAAGTTTCTTTGTATAAGTGCTTCCTCTTTATTCTAGATGAGCATTTTGAGGTGAATGAGAGCATGAAATATGTTATAGCTGAAAGAGTTTTGACATTTTGGCATAGTTGCTATGATATACAATTTCCTTAAATTGAATTTCAGGTGATTATTTATGTGGCTAAAATAGGAGAAAGGTAGATTAAAATATATTTTGATAACTTACATTTTTTATTAAGTAAAAATGTGAGGAGATAAGCTGCTGAGTTCCTGTTGAACTCATAGCTGGGTTTCTGCTCAGTTTCTTAATCGTCTCATATACTGAAATGTCTTATCAGTGTTATAGAGAAATATTTGTTAGGAGCTTTTTCCATTTGTCTTTTGTTTTATTTTTATGTAACTCAATTTTGGGACAAGTTGGACCATAGTAGTGTTAGGTAAATAATAAGTATTGCTGAAATATCAGTGAATAGATTCCCTAACCAAAATTTCCTAGATAAAGGTAAGAACAAAAAAGGTAAGCACTCATATTTGTTAGTATGTGAACTTGAAAATATGGTTCAAATGTGCTGAAGCTAAGTGTAAAAAATAATGCTTCATAATCGTTGTTTCCATTTTCCATTGAAAAATATGTCCAGAAGTACTGTAGGTTGTGTTTTGGTTTGTTTTTTTTTCAAAAGCACTTAGCACTTCTGTGTTGATTCACCCTAAACTGTCACAGACTGTTGCTGATCTAGAGCAGCAACAAGCGCTGTGTCTGGATCTGTAAACATTTAAAGTCACACAGAATTCTAATTTATTATATGTTCATTAATTATATAAACTTAAGTAATTGTGATAGATAAGGACAGATGGTTCTGATAAATGTTTTTAACGAAGTGTTAAGTCGAACCACTGTAACTGCAATAAGGTTTACTAATAAGAATCTTGGATGCTCTCCAAGATCTATTTTTGAACATTACAACATGTATAGTACCACTCTGTAGTGAAATACTGCTGAAAGCATGTCAGAAACTAACACCGGATCTAAAAATATCTCTCAATGCCAAGAATCCAGATTTTTCAGAGCATCTTACTTCAAGCATTTGTTTGACCCTACTACTGGAAGTAATTTGTTTTGTATTACAGCTGTGGCTGTGTCAAAACAAAAATCAGGGGAAGCATTATGGGAGCTTCATGACATAGGAGAGGGAGATTTGATTGGCAGGGTAGAGATGGTGTATCTGTTCAGGTTTGGTTTTGGGTTGTTTTTTTTTTTGTTTTTTAAATTTGCATTTACAACTTTAAGATTAATAGAATGGCTATTGAATGTGTGTCCCTCCTTTCACTGTTCACATTGTCTTTTTTTAAAATTCTTCTTTATTTGTTTGGGTTTTTTTTCATTTTACTGTCAGTTCTCTGTGTCTTGATTTTTTGTAAGGTTGTCGTTCCAGTTTGTTTCTCTGCTGTAATGGCAGCAGATTAGAAATTTATGTAAAGATGAAAACAGAAAAGAGTTTTTAAGTGGGGGAGGAAAAATGCAGAACTATGCATTAATAAAGTATAGTGATGGCACGAACACACAAATGTTAGAGGTTCATAGAAAGTAGGGTGGGAAAAGCAGTTTCTTAAACCATGAATTCTAAACTAATAAGAATTGAATCGATAGAAATTTTGTTGAGTTTGTAAATGTTACCCTCAGACTGTAGTGGATTTTTCATGTGTTGTTGGATTTTTGCAGTTGAAAGTGGCTGAGAAATATTAGAAGTCTTGAAGCTGTTCTGAGAATGATTCTCAGGGTTAAATTCAGGATTCATAGAGAAATCGTGAACTCGGATTCTTGGCCATTGAGTGTCAGTTTCAGTGTTGGTATGTCAGTTTTATGCAAAAAAGTTTTTTTTAAAAAAACTCAAACATTGAACTCCTATTGTTAGCTGAAAATAGCTTTTGAAATGCAGCTAAACAAATATAAATGATCTGCAAGATATGCTCAGAATATTTGACATTTCACCTATGTAGCTACTCTTACTAACTTTTTTCCAAGCTCCTATTCCTGCTTATTGAAATATATGAACATAAACTTGGAACTTTGGATTCTGTAGAGCCGTTTAGTTTCTGTATTTCAGTGTGTTTATACAGACATTGGGGGTAATTTTAGAATTATGTGCATAAACTAAGATGTTTTGTAGGAGTTTTTAATATTCACTTAAAATAGACGTTTTTGTTTTTAGTCTCTTAATAATATTAGTATTTTAAAATCAGTTTTCAATAAAGAAAAATTGCCATATGTTTTTCTTCATTGTTTCTCTCTTCATTCAACTGTATCTTCGCACACTAGGAGTGGTACAGCATCAGTATTGGTATTTGCCACCGTTAAGTATCTACGCAGTAACTGCTGGTTATTTGCTATTCAGTCAGCTCTTCATTTCTGTATTAATTTAACATAAAGAATTTGTCAATTGTTTCAGCCTGAATACTTTGATATTTATATTCTGCTGTTCTCTAGTTTTGTCTTAAAATCATTCTACTTTACATATGTGGTACTATGACTTTCAGAACAGTCTACTTGTTTGGTAGTGTCATATTCATGAGCAGAGGAGCTTGCCTATTTAGTTATGTCCTCCAGCATCACTACTGCTCCAGCTGAAGTTGAAGATGAAAACCAATGTGTTTATACTAAACTTTGAGGGAATCAATTACCTTTTTAAAAAATTTTTTCCCCTTCCCCCAATCCTCACTGCGTTATAAAGAAACTGTTTGGAAAATTCGTAATTTCCATGATCTTATCCGCAGCGCCACATATTTTCTCACTTTGTACAGAGCTTCCCTCAAAACTGAATCAAATGTCTTTACTAGTCAGTGAATCTGTTCCATTAATTGTCAGAATTTGGATATCATTTCAGTTGAACCTGCTGTTATCCCTTATAGCTATGTTAATTTGTTGCTTTCTCCCCTCTTGATTTTTCCTGATGCTGTTAGTAAGCTTAAATCTCGAGTTAGCTGGAGTGACTGCATGCCCTTACTTAAGCGTTGGAACAACTAGCCCGTCATCTTACATCTCGTCTTGTTTTGTTTTGTCGTCCCCATCCCCAAGCTCTGATGACATCCTGCTGAGATGTTTTCTCATCTACTCTGGAAGCTTTCCCGTTTTTAACTGTTTCATTTCACTTTGAATTTCTTCCTGTTAGCAAGGTTCACTTGTGAGTATAGTTTGTCTTTCAAGAGTGACTTGTTTATACAGCATGCTTATAATCAGGCAGATTTAGCTGTTTTTCCAGGTATTTCTTTCATGTCTCCAGCAGCAGCCCACTATCTGAGGTAGTGTATGAATAATTACATTACATTGTTTCATTCGCCATTCATTTCTGTTTACTTCAGTTTAAGCATTTGGATTTGATGTTTTTGGACTTCTTGAGGCCTCCTCTACCTGTAGAATTCCAAAATCCATGTTTACGCAGTTTTTGTGCTTGCTTTATTGCTTTGCGTAATGCTTTAGTTCTCTGGTTTCAGGTTTGTTTTTTTTTTTCTTTGTGAAGTTCTTCTTTTGTTGTCCAGTTCCTTCTTTGTATAAGTTAAATAATAATTTTCTTTCCTGTGCATTTATTCTTTGATTCTTTCTCACATAGTGTGTAGAGAGAGATGTGTTTAAATGCCTGAAATACTTCTCAGATGTCACCTTTCTTGTCCCTCACAGTGATCTGTCAACTGACTTGAGTCCAGTTGCTCTCATATTTTTCTTGGACAATAATTAGTCATGATCATTGCCACATTATATTATTTGTATGTCCATTGTTTTTATGGACAGTAGTTTGGTTAATCTGATTTCCAGTGAATTCTCTGTAATCCTGTGTATCTTTTTGCAAAGGAACTTGGCTGCTGACAGAACTCGGATTGTGAATCAAGTTCTTTACCTTTGTCCGTTATCTCTTAGCATCTGGATGTCACGTAGTCAAGTGTTCTTTGCCTGCTTCCAAGTTTTAGCTTTACATCCTGTTGCCAGTGTATCATGATCTAAAATATATATATAGGAATAACTATTGATAAAGAGCTTCACTTTTTCATCCTTTCTTGTTAATTTCTGTTGATACGTGGTATCAGATTGCAACTATCCATAGTTTATAGTAGGGACTAAATAACTGCTCGTGATGCTAAATTGATTTTTTTCCTTGCCTCTGATGTAAGTACGTTTTTCAAAGGAATTCCCAGAAAGTTTGACTTAACTCATCTTTTTCCATTTTTGCCTTTCCTTTGGGCAGACAAAAATTTTGTCATGTTTTGCCGCCTTCTCTTGTGACAGATACATCGCGAACATTGTATGTAGGTTATTTAATTCTATTTTCCACCTCATCATTCTCTACCCATCCCCATCCTTTTGGGGGATCTTTCCTGCTTAGGCAGGAAACAAATGTGGAGTGGGCTGAGAGCAATCAAACCAACCTGCTTAAATGCAAAAATGAAGGTGATTCGGGCCAACTATTTTCCTTGTAAAGAAAAGGAATAGAGGCTGCAGACTCATTTTGAACTTAAGACATCTGAACACCTTTGTTCAGAACTAGAAAATGGAGATCATTGTAGGTAGTCCTAGTGCTTTGGAAGAACTAGGTGGGTTTTTTGATCATTTACTGGCAAGACATGTGATTCCAGTGTGAAGATCTGTCTGAGATGTGGAAACATCTGTTACTTCAGTAGAATCACGAGGGTAACTTTCAGAACAAGGTGCAATTCTTTTTTTATTGGTGTTTTTTCCCTACTATGTTGTAAGGGGTTTTGTAATTAAAAGCTTCATCATTCCAGTTAAGGAATGGAAAGTACAATTTACCTTCCTGACAGTCTTATCCAGGACTTTTTTCTTTCATTCTTTCTTTCTGAAGAGGCCTTAAGTGTCCTGGAGTCCGCTTTGGGTTTCTTGAAGTCCTCTGTCTGAGTGAAAGATGCAGAATTCATGTTCACTATTGACTCTGCATTATTGTTTATATGGAGGTCAGGTGAAATCTGTTTGTCATAGCATCTCTCAAAAAAACCTGCATTTTTTAAGAGTTTGGACAACTTGATTTTGTGCCTGATAATTTGATTGAGACTTTGATTGTCATAGGCCAGGCTGACCGCACTTTTTAAATTCCTTACATGACTGCACATGCCGTGCACAAGAGTATTACTTCAAGCTGTTTGTCGTTCCCTGAACAGAATGGTAACTTTTCCAAGGGAGATGGTTGACTCTCCTCCGTAATGGTGCCTGCTAGAAGATAGCTTGTTAGAATCAAACGGAAAGTTGTTCTGCCTTCTAAATAATTAGAAACGGGTGCCTGTGTCCCTGGCTGGGAACTCACCTCAGCTCTCTGGTAAAGCTTTCAGGTGTTTTGGAGCTCAGTATAGTGATGTATGCATATCGGGCTGCCATCTGTACATTTATTGCTGCAACATGCTTGTCAGGTAATCCTGTCCCCCACTAGTTAGCAGCCCATCTCTAAAATAGATACATTAAATGCCACATATAGTAGTTTGTGTCTTAGCTGCATGGATTTCTGAACACATCACTTACTGGTAAGCTGTTTAAGTTACTGGATTGTTGAATGGAGGATGTAGGGTAATATTTCTGAGGTTTTTGGTGATATAACTGGAGCTTTTGCAGAGTGTTTGAAATCTTAATATCTGCACAGTGCTCACAGAAAGCCTGGTTTGCTACTACAGTAGGCATTTCATGGTTGCTGAAACAGCCATGACAGATGCTGGCTTTGGGAATGCAAACCTACAGTTTTGAGCAAGCAGAAGACCCTGGGACCCTTCCGCAGGTAAAGCAGTGTTCTTGGTGAGCATTGGCACCCACAGTGCTTCTGTATGTGGAAATAAATGCTCAGGAGAGATCAAATATGTATTTTTAGTTGGGTTTTTTTGAAGTTGTTTTGTCTGCATATTCATGTCCTGTCCTGCAGATTTTCTTCCTTAAAGCTTTAAGAGCCTTCCCAGATCTCTAGGACTCAGAGGAGCTCAGGCTATGGGGGACACACGTTGTTCTGGTGTGCTTCACGTAGGTAACAGGGCTTCTGTGTATGCTCTAGGTAATCCTGAGGCAAAAATTAGTTGGAGTGGTTAACATCTTATGCTCACAACATGGCTGTATAATGAAACAATTTGAAGAGTAACAGTTATATGTAAGTAAACTTCCTTTGGTGCCTTGGTGTAGCTCTCATTTTAACCTACAGAATGGAGCCAAGTTGTATTATTTTCTGAAAAAGATAACCTCATCTGAGTTGACAACTAGGATTGTCTGATAGACTGCTTCTTTAGGACGGGGAGACTTTCCTGGGCCGCTCAAGCAACTGGTGTGGATCTGTTTATTCTGCGACTTTTAGGTGAGGTGTATAGTTTTCCAACATGTATTCCTGTCTTCGTCTTTAGCCATAGCACTTTGAGGCTTTATCTGCCATAGTGTCTGTAGTGTCTTCCCTGTCTGCAAAATCCTTAAATTTTCATTTTCCATCCCTTTGAGAACATGTCCAGGATGATTTGCCTTCCAGATAGAAAAAATTTGTTCCTTTATGACTTTATATTGTCAGAGATTGTTAAATATTTCATTTTGGACTATACACTTCAGTATTCAGTGTTGAAAAGTGGATTACTGGAATATTCATCTAGCAAAACATGATGGTGCTGTTGTAACATTTAACATGTGACAGCAGTTTTAACATTGTATTGTGATTGACTTCGGCCTCCTCCAAAGAGATTCAAGTTGAAGTTGAAGATATTTTAAGTATCTCTGTTCAATATTCACTTTTTAAAAAAATCCTTAACTGATTAAACAACTAATCTTTAAAAGCATCTGAGATTTTTCTTATAAGTAGCAGTGAAATGTGAAGGCTTACTGTGTTCATTGCTTTTCCAAAAGCAAACATTCTAAAGGAAAGTGTGTACTGACTGGTGTATTTCCAGACAATATATTTCTGTGTGCTTTTTAAGATGATGACTCTTCCTTAAATAGTCTCCTTGTCTAAAAGTAAAGGCAGCTCAAAGTGAAGCACATGCTGCAAATTTTACCTTCATGCCTTGGTCTTCTGTGGCTCTTGATAACCTCAGTATTAATTAGAAAAATCTGTTTGTCGTAAACAGTAAGAAGTTAGACTTTTATCTGGCTGTTCTTGTCTTTGCTAAAATGAAGTAATAATCCTTTCTGTGCAAGTAATCCTCTTTACTAAACAGCACTTGGATGTCATTTAGCAGCATTGCACTGGAAAATAAAATTATTTTCCTTCCAATTTGGAAAATCTGTAGTATTGTATTTTTCAAGAAAATAGTAGTGTCAAGCCTGGTATGAATGCTGTAATTTACTAAATTACATTTGCATAGCAAAATTTCTCCTGCTGTTCAGCTGGTTGTACTTCCCCTCCTTCCCTTTTTATCTAGGTTTATTTGTGGTTTTATTCTGTGATCATAGCCAAAAGAGGAGCTGTATTTCATTAGTGAGTCAAAGGAATGTATAAATTTCTATTAGTCAAAGAAATGTTTATGTTTCTGTTATAATACACACATTAGAATGTATATATCATTATATATTTTTATATTAATATACATCACAGTGTGTATTTTTATTAGCTTGCAAACCTTAATCCCTTCATTAATTCTTGAATTTCAACAGGACTAAGTGACATAACAACCATTTACAGATTAGGCCACATATTTATAAAGTAATTTGAATTCCAGTCTGCTGAAGCATTCTGTTTTGCTTATGTTTATACAGGTTTGTGGTGGTGGTGGTTGTTGCTTCTCTCTTTTCATTGATTTATGATGATGTGGAAAACATAGCAGGAGCTTTAAAAAGTCTCTCCAGAGAGAAATCTGACTGTTGTACTTCTAGCAGGAGTCTAAGCTCTACTGAAACTGAGAGGAGTCACCATCTTCTGCTTTAGGAGTTCACTGTTTGTAGGAGGTGAAGGAGGATGAACTGTACTTTTTTCCCCGCTTACAACTGCTATATTTCTAATTGTTTGTGGAAAACTGTCCGTATGGTTTCAGTATGTGCTTCAGCAGAGTACTTCTGTGGTAGTGTTGGTTGATGATGAATGCGCACTTCTGGTGTTTGAAGGGAAGAGTTTCTTAGTGTAAAGTACTGAACATCTTGCATATCATCCTATGAGTGAAAAATGTGGTTACTGTTAGGTGAATTGAGGTACTAGGAAATTTTTAAAGAACAATCCTTTTCATATTTTTTCAATATTATAGTGTAATAGAAATAAAAATAATGAATATTTAAACAAATACCATCCCCTAGAAATTAAGTGTATTTTTAATTCTTTCTTCAGTTTTGGAAGGATATTGTTGAGGATATTGAAGTTCGTGATCTAATTTCTGACAGAAGCAAATCTCAAGGTGAGACATCTTCACTAATCTTAATACATACATGTTGGTAAATATAGCAAAGGAAGGACTAAAATTTATTTGTTTATTTTGTAGATATTCCTTCGGAAGAATGGATTTGGGAATCCTTATTCCATCCACCCCGCAAATTGGGCATTAATGATATTGAAGGACAGCGGGTACTTCAGATCGCAGTGATTTTACGTAATCTTTCTTTTGAAGAGGGAAATGTTAAACTTTTGGCAGCTAATCGTACTTGTCTTCGGTTCCTGCTACTCTCTGCTCATAGTCACTTTATTTCTCTACGGCAGTTGGGTCTTGACACGCTGGGAAATATTGCAGCAGAGGTAATGTGCTTCAGAACAGAACAATTAAACTGTAATTTGATAAAAGTGTTACTTTAGTGTTAATTAAATGAATTACTTTTTTCCTTGATCATTGGCTGAAGCAGGACATGAATTATTCTTTGAATTTGTAAATAGCAATTTGAAAACAAGTATTCAGAGCCAAAACAAAACTACAGACTGTGTCAGTTTGCTAAAATGGAATCACATGAAGACGACTGATGATACAGGTAGACAGAAGATATTCATAATGCATAATTTTCAGTTTAGTTTCCTAGAGAGAAGAAAGGAATTTAGTTAAATTCGATGGACTGTACACTGGCTTCTTCACTTTATAATTACAACCTTTAGTCATAACTTCAAAATAGTGCATTTGAGAAAGGCGATGGTAGAAGGTTTTATGCTGTGCATAGTGGGCACTAGTAAGCTAGTCATATGCCACTGGGTATACACACTGCCTGAATCACGTGAGGCATCCTTGTCCTTTCAGAGAGGTTTGAATGTAATAGAATACACTATTTCAATATGTCAGATCATTGTGCAGATAAATTATACAGATTTTATAGGTAGGATATGTTCAGATATTCCTTATATTTTAAAATATAACAGATAAATTTAAGTAAAATTGGCAGTATCAGAGAATAAGACTTGAAGTATTGGTCCACTGCTGAATATTGAAAAAAAGATGGTGTTTTTATTTACCATGTATCCAGCTTCTCTTGAATAAGAGAGAATGTTACATATTATAATGCCTGAGAGCTCTGGTTGAGCAGCAGAAGTAGAAGGAAACAGGATGAACAATTGTGATAGTGTTTGGGAAGGAATGTTTGTTGTTATTCAAGTTCTGTTAATTGTTGGATGTTAAAATGTATTTGTGTATACTGTTGACTGCCTGGGAATAAAGTTATTTTCTTTATTCTGAGCACTGGAAAGTGTAAATTAGACTGCTACTTCAGAGCAGAAAAGGAGGCGGGGGCTCAAAATCCTAGCTACAATAAAAGGCTCACAGGGTTCTGGTTTTGTGAACACAAATGTAACTTACAAGTGCTGCATTTAAACACTTTTGAATCTTGTATTCTGATATGCAAATTGAAAGACTTGAGCCTTTAGCACTATATGGATAGTGTTAGTCATATGGGTTTTTTTCTTTCTCATCAGCTTCTTTTGGATCCTGTTGATTTCAAAACTACTCATCTAATGTTTCACACTGTTACAAAATGCCTCATGTCAAGGGATAGATTTTTAAAAATGAGAGGTAAGATCTTTAGCTATTCTTGTTGTTTTATTAGAATTGTAATTATTGCTGTTTAAAACTATTTTGTATTTGTTCTTCAGGTATGGAAATCTTGGCAAATCTTTGTAAGGCTGAAGATAATGGTGTCTTAATTTGTGAATATGTGGATCAAGAATCCTATAAAGAGATCATATGTCATCTCACGCTACCAGATGTGCTGCTTGTAATCTCAGCACTTGAGGTGCTATACATGCTCACGGAAATGGGAGAAGTGGCCTGCTCAAAGATTGCTAAAGTAGAGAAGAGCATAGGTAAGGGAGAAGCAAAATCTATTTACTGTCACTTATGTAGGAAAAAAGACTTAAGAGTATACCATGTTCAGTGGTTAAAAACGTGGCTTTCTTGTGTGTGTTTGTGCAGCTTAGGGATGGATAGTAGGATAGGTAATTTTACTAAAATTTATTCTTTGTGTCCTCGTTTCTTTTTTTAATGCCATGAAAAGTGTTTAAAAGAAAAAAAAATCTACAGAAGCATGCAGAGGCTTGTTTTCTTTCAACACATGGCAATTTTAAAGCAAATCGATATGTCCCAGCAGCATTCATTTGTCTTGTCCTAATGCCATTGTTGGTTTTACATTTAATACTTTAGATACATTAGTATGTCTGGTTTCTATGGACATCCAGATGTTTGGACCTGATGCACTTACTGCTGTAAAACTCATTGAACATCAGTGTGTTAGCCAGCAAGGAGTACTTGATGTCAGACCACAAGTAATGGACCATGGTTCTTCACAGGCCCATGCAACAGGTGTCCCAGGTTAGTATCACTGCAAGAGAACATGCTCTTCTACAAAATTTCCTGTATGACATGTCTGATTTTTGTCTTCTGTAGGTTTCTGATTAATTTACATAAATAAGTATAGCATTATGCATAACATATGGTATCTTTTTCAGACGCTTGTTCACAAAGCAAATACAAAGCTATGTTAGCCAAAACTGTTGTGAAACAGGCTTTAAAGTCTCTCAATATTTTTCAGTTGCTAGTCTGAAAATTTACTGAAAGGTATGTATACTCCTTATTTTAACTTGTTCAGTGGAAAAAAATTGCTCCCACAATTTGCAGAGAATTAGAAGTCCATTTTATATTGTGTTTTACACAGAATATTATTGGGCAGTAACATGCAGTATTTGATAGAATTAGAGATGAGAAAAACACACAGGATCATGCCTCTGTTGAAGCTGCTAAACGACTTACTGTGATGTGAACCAAATTTTAACTGTTGTTCAAAGCTTGAAAAGTGTTTTCTTAATCATCATTAAATTTTAATTTATAATTAATTTTTGCAGTTTTATTTTGGGATTAAATACTGGCACTTAGTTAGCTATGCCATCAACTTTCAATTATTGGTCAGGAGGAGTAGCATATGTACTGCATGCTGTCTTTACTAGTAAAAGCACATAGCATTATACAACAAGTGCACGCAAGATGGAACATAGCTATTTGTTCTGGGGAAAAAATGGAGAAAGAACCATTAAGACATACACTGGCTGGCATGTCTAAGTGTCTTGTTTCTGGAAGGGGTGCAGATATCACAGTGAAAGTGACTGGAAAAGAATGTGACCAAGGGGATGAACGAGAGTGAATAGAAAGAACCGATGTGACATTGCAACAAAAATCTTTGCATGATACTTGCTTCCACTTAGGAATTGGAAAAATAATTGTTGTGTCTTTGTGCCTGTTCTGATGGAGTATTGTGCCACTCTTAAATCATGCTCAGTACTCTAAAGTACTGAGATTGTGGATCATGACCGTGAATCTGGAAGCTGTCATTCACTAAGTGCTTACGTCATGATTGCACTTCAGTGGCAGCTCTGGCCTTGGCGTGCTGTGCTTCACTTTGGTAGATTGTGGTGCAAACCTGTAGTCTGCTTAGTGCACCTTTGTGACTTGCCATAGCCAGATGTGTCCTTGCTTACAAACACAGGAGAAACTGTACCAGTGAAAGCCATGGAGTTGAAGTGCTTCATTCAGGAGAACAATAAATCCTTTCAGCAAGTTTTTTTTTCTTCCCCTCATTCTCCACAGCCTCTAGGACAGCACCACATGTTGCTCCACCACCAGGAATAGTAGAAATAGACAGCGAGAAATTTGCATGTCAGTGGTAAGTGTATAGTCCTACTCAAGTACTTTAATGAAGAACAAAGAAAAATGCTTGTATTCATGTGTCACAGAATTTTCTAGCTTGCTTCTGTTACTGTTAGGCTCATTTTTCTGAAAAGTGTAAAGCAAAACCATTCTGTCATTGCCTTGAAGAAGTATGAAAGAAAAAACTCAACCACAATATTCACTCTTTGACAGCTAATACTTGAAATTAGTTGTTTTCTCTCTTAGAATAGATTTGATTTTTAACTCTGATCTTGATTTTATTTATTTTTTAAATTGTCAAGCAGCATGATCTGTTTCATGAGTGTTTTCATCTGGTAATGTGTTGCTATATTACTGCACCAATATAAAAGTAATTCTCAAATTATGAAGCTAGATCCTGCAAATCTATCATGGGATCATTGTGAACCTTAAGCAAGTTATGGAAGATCAAAGCCTTTTCCATCCAAATTCTCTTACTTTCAACTAATATTGTTGTTGTTAGATATTTAGAGAAAAACTATTCTACCTGTGGTTTTTCAAGTTGACTGAGGGTGATCTTCCTGAACTATTTGACGTATGTAAATCTACTCACATTCTAAATATTTCTATTAATTGATTCCTGATGGAGCCTTCCACCTCTGCTGGTTCACAACTCATATGCTCATTTTTTGTCTTACTGATCAGACAAGGGCCTTCAAGGTAAAGTGGGTAGAATTTGTCAAAGCTTCGTGCTTTAGGTCATAATTTAGTTTTACTTACACTTCTAGCAAAGCTTTGATTGCATGGGGGAAGTGTTGCAGATTCTTGTTGGTCAGCTGATGTTGTTCCTGTGCTTCTGTTTGCACACTGCGCAAAGTATTACTAACATACACTGCTGAAAACCTGAGAAATTTCACATTTAGACAATTAAACAGGGATACCTGGAGTTGGAATCACTGCAGCTCAATTTAGCAATCTGCAAGTTGGTCTCTAGCCAAAGCTGGTTTTCTAGGCTGCCTTTTTAATTAATGGAGTGGGAGATTCCTCCAGGAGTAAAATGAATTGCCTTCACCTGCCTAGTTCCTGATGAGATTATGAATGACTTTCTGGTGCCACCTTCTCTCTGTTGACTGTGAGAGCACTGGACATCTAGCTTTCAGTAGTAAAGTTGTAGGCAAGGTGAAATTTGCACTTTGTATAGAAATAGAAGTTTCAGCTGTTAAAGTAAGTATGGGTGGGTACCATGTTGCAGCTGTGTGATACCATTGAATCACAGAAGATACTGAAGCAAACTGTAGAGCATTCTGTCAGGAAGATTTAGAATGCCTGCTTTGTTTCTGCTTCCGTGTGCTTCTGCAGCTGTCAGTGTTGAATACTAGTATTTTGTACTTGATTTTCTTCTGATTAGTCTTAGGTAGATATGAGCTAGTGAAAAATAAAAAAAGAACAGCTAGTCATGAAAATTATCCTTAAATACTAACTGTGCTGCCAAAAAAAAAGAAGAAGAAGAAAAAAGGCAAATTGAGAGCAGAGGAGTAGCCTCTTCCAAGCGTTTTCATCAATGCTAACGTGGACTGTCTTCCATGAATTTCCAGGGTGTGTTTTAGTCATTGCTCCCTATCGAGAGAAATGGGAAAATGAGTAAATCATAGCAGTAGTATTTAGAAAAGTTACTATCTCTTGGAAGCAGCAGGAAGAGAAGGTATTTAAACTGACCTTCCTGAATATATTATTAGCCAGCTTAGCCTGAGTAGGAGTCTGTGTCAGGTAAGTGCATGTGACAGTGAAGTGCTAATCGCAGGTCCCATCTCACCTGAATATCTTCAGTTTGCTGGTACCAGTGATAGTGTGTCAGCCTAATATGACATACCCAACTGGACAGTCATTTGTGTGATATGCCAAATTGAATTAATGCCTAGACTTTCTGTTATACAGTGTGATTTCAATTTTTGTAATAATAGAGTTGTAACTCAGCTGTAGGAGAAATGGCATTATACTTACTCTTTACTGGTTCTGAGAGAACAGTTTAAAGAATTTTGCTTTTTCTCTTTTGAAACATCTAGTTATATTGGGAGTATAGGACTCTACAAAGGAGAATGCAGTGTAGTTTTCCAAAGTGTTAGCACCATATAGTAAAGGCTGACAATTTAAAAAATATTTTTATTCTGTCTGAGCCTATATTCTGGTACTGGTATTTGGGCATTGTGTGAGAGTTGTTACTTACCTCCATTTGCTGCTGGGGACGAACCTTTCCCATGTCTCTGGTAGAAAAGGTTTCCTTCTCTCACAGCTTCCTGGTTGGGGGTTGGATGGTCTGTGTGCTTATGGAGGGTCTGTAGGAAATACACTTTCTTTCCCTGGAAATTGAACGTTAGGCAGAACAGGCTGTTGAAGGATTTTACGGATGTCTATGTAGTGTGGGACTCCAGGAATGAGAGCGTGTGTGTTTGTGTACATCCGCTCTTAGAATGCCAGTCCCCTCTCTCCTGCCTTCCCACCTGTATAAGAACGACAGGATTGAGATTGTCATTCTATCCCTGGTTTTACTTGTATTTTAAAGTAAGACTTCATTAGTGGATCAGTTAACAAAATCTTGGGTTTGATACAAACATTGACTTCTGAGAGAAATTTCTGATGAAGAATTAGCTAGCATTCAGTCCATCTTTTGCTAAAGTAGAATCAGTAAGAAACAAGAATAGAGCTATTGGGAGGAGACATCACCCAACAATGCATTCTTTTGTGCTTTTATTTCTGAATATACAATAAAAAAGGCATATATAGAGACTATTTTGCATATTACATATGTAAACAAGATGTTGCATGTAGAACTGACTGCATGTGTTAGGGGTCCTATGTGTTGAATCATAAGCAGTGAGGAGAAAGTATGGAACAGACATTTGACAAGACAATATACTAAAATGCTATTTTCCATGTTCTTATCAGGTCTCAAAAGTCTATGTGATACAAACAGAAGTGTTTTAATGACCCTTTTAAAAGTACTCTCTCTATATTTTACTTCATAATTTATTTTTTCATCCTCAGGTTGAACGCACATTTTGAAGTGAATCTTGATTGCTCAGTCTCTCGAGCAGAAATGTACTCTGAATACCTCTCCACCTGCAGTAAATTAGCTCGAGGTGGGATCCTAACATCAACTGGATTTTATAAATGTCTGCGGTAAGACAAAAATTCATGCAACAATAAAGAAGCATTGTATGTGCTCAGTACTAACTTGTAGCTTTAGATTTCTTTGAGAAAAGATCTACTGAGTTGAGTTTGAAAGACATCCAGTTTTGGAATTTTAATTGAAACAAATGTTAGGAGTTTGTTTAATTTTATTTCATTCTATTTCAGGATCTTTGATAGGGTTCCTTCTCTGCTTATAGTCCTTTCAGTTTTTTCCAAAGTAGTTTTTGGAGGTATCGTAGTTTTCACTTGGCTTGTATGAGATCTTGCCCAACCATCTGGTGGACCTGCCCGTCCTCAATGATGAATACTCAGATGCTATTGGAGAATCCTGCTGTATTGCAAAGATGCAGGCATTAGTGCACACAAGAGCAGTTCGTTAAAACAAAAACATTGTAAAAGAGTTGAGTTACTGTGTTTATTTAACATAATTTGTGTTGTATTTGGCAGAACTGTCTTTCCAAATCATACAGTGAAGAGAGTAGAAGATCCAGGTAACAATGGTCAAGCACATATACATGTGGTAGGAGTGAAAAGGAGAGCTATACCACTTCCCATTCAGATGTACTATCAGCAGCAACCAACTTCGTCTACCCCAGTTGTCCGGGTTGATTCAATTCCTGATGTGTCTTCGTCTCCTTCGCCAGCAGGTTTTTAAATTAATTAAACATCAAATATTCTGCTTTGATTCTGAAATGACAATAGAAGACAAAAGTTTTTTAAAATACTTTGAAAGTGTTGGAAGTCGGGGACACATGTTTTTGTTGATTTTATTCAATAATGTTAGGAATATTATTGCAGTATGTACTTGCATGCTATTCTAGTGTTCGACATGTAATCCGTAAACTTGTCAGTCAGCAGACAAGCCGTTGTTGCTGAATCATTAAGTCAGTTGCAGTATAGCTGAGAAGAGAAACCGCTTCCTATAGAATTACAAATTTGAGCCTTGGATTTTTAAAAAATTGTTATGTTAATGTGTTTTGAAATAATTTTTGCTTCCAAACTTTTTTAATTGTGTTTATTTCGACAGGAATCCCGCATGGGCTACCAAGCGTAGGAAATCACTATCAGAGGACCCCTATTAACCAGTCTTCAACTTTGACAGCAACACAGATGTCTTTTCCAATTCAAGGTGTTCATACTGTGGCACAGACTGTTTCTAGAATTCCACAAAATCCTTCTATTCATACACAGCAGCAACAAAATGCTCCAGTGACTGTTATACAGAATAAAGGTCCAATATCCTGTGAAGTAGTGAAGGCCACAGTAATACAGAGCTCTGTTCCCCAGTCTGCAGTTCCTGTTACTATTGCTGTAGGAGGAGCACCACAAGCTTCTAATCAAAATCACAGCACTACAGGACAACAGCCGTCTGTTACAGTCGTTAGTTCTCAGACATTGCTTCACCACCAACCTGTAATTCAACAGCAGTCTCCACTGCATGCAGTGGTACCAGGACAGATACCTTCAGGCACTCCTGTTACAGTAATTCAGCAAGCTGTACCTCAGGGTCATATATTTGGCAGAGTACAAAACATACCAGCATGCAGTTCAGCAGTTTCACAGGGTCAACAGCTAATCAGCACATCATCACAGCCTGGGCAGACGTCATCTCAGCAGTCCTCTGCTGGTAACCAGCAACAAGATACGGTCATCATAGCACCACAGCAGTACGTTACAACCTCTGCATCTAACATTGCTTCTGCCACCACCGTTCAAAATTTCCAAGTAGCAGCTGGGCAGGTGGTTACAATCGCAGGTGTCCAAAACCCACCAACATCTAGGGTAGGGTTTCAGAATATTGCACCGAAGCCTCTGCCGTCTCAGCAAGTTCCACCTGCCGTGGTACAGCAGCCGATGCAGCCACAGCAGCAGCCTCCACCACCATCCCAGCAAAGTGTAGTGATTGTAAGCCAGCCAGCTCAGCAAGGTCAAACGTATGCACCAGCCATTCATCAAATAGTGCTTGCTAACCCAGCTTCTATTCCTGCTGGTCAAACTGTCCAGTTGACTGGACAGCCAAGCATTACTCCATCTTCTTCACCATCCCCAGGTCCGGTTACAAATAATCAAGTTCCTACAGTTATGTCCTCTTCATCTACCACTCCTCAGTCACAAGGACCCCCTCCTACTGTCAGCCAGATGCTTTCTGTAAAGAGGCAGCAGCAGCAGCAACATTCACCAGCATCATCGCAGCAGCAGGTACAGGTACAACAACCGATACAAATGCAAGTTCAGTCACAACAAGCTAATACAGGAGTTGGCCAGCCTAACTCTGGTGAGTCTAGTCTGATAAAACAACTACTTCTTCCAAAAAGAGGCCCCTCAACGCCAGGGGGGAAGCTTATACTCCCAGCTCCCCAGATTCCCCCACCTAACAATGCAAGAGCTCCTAGCCCTCAGGTGGTTTATCAGATGGCCAATAACCAGGCACCAGGTTTTGGAGTTCAAGGACAGTCCCCAGCCCAGCAGCTGCTGGTTGGACAGCAAAATGTTCAGCTGGTCCCGGGTGCAATCCAGCCCCAAGGGGCCGTACAAACAGTACCCATTTCTAATTTACAGATATTGCCAGGCCAGTTGATCTCAAACAGCCCAGCGACTATTTTCCAAGGGACTACTGGCAACCAGGTTACGATAACAGTTGTGCCAAATACGAGTTTTGCTACTGCAACTGTGAGTCAGGGAAATGCAACTCAGATCATTGCTCCAGCAGGAATTGCAGTGAGTGGAGCACAGACAGGAGTTGGGCTACAGGTGCAAACACTTCCACCTACTCAAGCACCTTCAGCTGGACAATCACCATGTACTGCTGCTCCCCCATTCAAGGGTGATAAAATAATTTGCCAAAAGGAGGAAGAAGCAAAGGAAGCAACAGGTTTACACATTCATGAACGTAAAATTGAAGTTATGGAGAATCCTTCCTGCCGAAGAGGAGCTGCAAACACCAGCAATGGGGATGCAAAAGAAAATGAAATGCAGGTGGGAAGTCTTTTAAATGGGAGAAAGTATAGTGACTCCAGTCTACCTCCTTCTAACTCAGGGAAAACTCAGAATGAGGCCAATCAGTGCTCACAAGTCAGTAATGGGCCATCATTAGAAATGGGTGAGAACGGAGCTCCTGGAAAGCAGAACTTTGAACAAATGGACACACAGGAAATTAAAAGTGATTTGAAGAAGCCCCTAGTTAATGGAATCTGTGATTTTGATAAAGCAGATGGTTCTCATTTGAGCAAAAACATTCCAAATCACAAAACTTCCAATCACGTAGGAAATGGTGAGATATCTTCAGTGGAACAACAAGGGAATTTGGAAGCCACGCAGCAAGATACTGCCAAAGGTGATCAAGGGGAAAGAATTTCTAATGGGCCTGTATTAACTTTGAGTAGTTCACCTGTTGTAAGCGGTACACAGGAGGCTGCAAAACTGTTAACCCAGCAACTTAGTGGTACCAACACTGATTTACCTAATGGACCTCTAGCTTCAAGTTTGAATTCAGATGTGCCTCAGCAACGCCCAAGTGTAGTTGTCTCACCGCAATCTACAGCCTCTGTTATACAGGGGCATCAAATCCTAGCAGTTCCACACTCAGGACCTAGAGTGTCCCAGTCTACCCTGTCATCCGAAGTTCGGTCTACTAATGGCACAGCAGAATGCAAAACTGTAAAGAGGCCAGCAGAGGATAATGACAGGGAAACTGTTCCAGGAATTCCAAATAAAGTAGGAGTTAGAATTGTTACAATCAGTGACCCCAACAATGCTGGTTGCAGTGCAACTATGGTTGCTGTGCCAGCTGGAGCGGATCCAAGCACTGTAGCGAAAGTAGCAATAGAAAGTGCTGTTCAACAAAAGCAGCAGCATCCAACCACGTATATACAAAGCATGGTCACACAGGTATGTTGCAGTGTTCTTTTTACGTTTATTCTAACTGTGATTTGGGCTAATACTGTGAAATAACGCGGGTGAAAACATGAACTCAGTCAATATCTCTTGCATAGTATTTAAAATATTCAGAAAATGATGGTTTCTGTTCTTTCACAGACTAAAGGTCTAATAGTTTGCATACTTCTTCAATGTCAGTGACAACAGTGGAATTTAAAACAGTTTGTAGCTTGATAATACGCAGTAAGGAAAGAACTTCTGCTTACTGGTTTATTCCTTAAAGGATTAACTGTTCTGAAAACAACAAAGATTCATTGTATGGTGAAAATGCCAGTATTGTTCTGCATTTTATTCTTGGTCTGTATTGCTTATGGAGGGGTGAAGATGTTTTTTTGCAAGTGAATCACCGCAGCTGCATCTGGCTTGCTGAATGAGTTGAAGTTCTCGCATTTAAAGGTGGTCTTCAAAGGCTTGCTTCAGAGGTTCACTACAGTCAGGAGAAAGTATTGTTTTGTAAATTTGTTGAAATATTTGTGTCTGTTTATTAAAATATTTGTAATGTTTATTTATTGATAAAATAAGCATTGTTTGGGTTTTTTTTCTGTTTGACAAACTTTGGAGAGGGCTGTTTTTGTTTACTTTAACAACTTTTTTTAAACCATTTGAAAGTGGTTACTCTGTAACACTTTATTAGAAATGAGGTATTGCTATCACTTGTGTGAATGTTAATAAGTATAAATAATCATGTTTAGGATTATTTCAGTCTCTAGAATTTATTTTAGTTTTGTACATGGACAGAAAAATCCCTCTCCAAAAAACATTTCTCATCTGAATAGGAGCAAAATAATAGAATAGTAGGTCTGGCAGTCACAGAGCCCTGACAGACCAGAGAGAAGAAATGAAGTCTTGAGCCGTACGTTAGTGCATTTTGACCTTGAGGTAACACAGGTCTTTGACTTCTTATCTTCCTTTTTTGTTTGGTTGGTTGGGGTTTTGCTTGTTTGTTTTTGACAAGGCAGCAGATATAGACCTCACAGACTTAAACAGCTGGAACTCAAAATTTCATGAGTGATGGCTAGTGCTGCTTCTTTTTCTGTGTCAAGTTTCTGTTGAAAGCTGTACTGACTTTCCTTCATCTAGTCAGAAGTCACGACTAACAGTTTATAAGTTTTCTTTCTTTTTTCTTTCTTTACTTTTTTCTTTCAACTGCCACACTACACAGTTAGGTTCTTAAAATGTCTTTGAACTCACTTGTAAATTTTCACTTGGGTTTTATCAGATTTTTCTGATACGTTATCTTGGTTCTTACTAGAAATTATTTGACCAAAATGAAAGTGTCTGTTGGCAGCATAGGAACAAGGCACTAGATTTTCTGTAGTGTGGATGTATTAGCTATACCTTGCTTTTTATGGTGAGGGTCTTTAGCTGCTACACAGTTTGAATTTCTATTATAGCTTTGCTAAGGATTGGGCTGAAATAGAAAATGGTATGGCTATGTCTCTGGAATGGAATAAATATTATCTGTGGTTATTTATTCCCTGGACATGTGTCTGACAAGAATTTTCAGTTGTGTCTCAAACAGCTATTAAACTGTCAGACTTTCAGATTTTTGAGAAGAGAGGAGTAATACAGTTAACTATTTCATTTTTATTAGATAATGTGTATCATGATCATAGAGAAAAAAAGAAAAAATAATCTTTTCTGTGCTGATAGTTTCTTTTTTATGCTATCACTAATATCACTATCAGTAGTTCCTGCATTTTCCATTACCTGTACAAACAGAAATGCTGCCAGCTGGGTTTGCTGTTCAGTACAAATTTGCAGATCAACGTAACTTGGTTTAATGTCTGCTTCCATGGAAGTTAGCTCATTCTTCTGTGTATAGGATGCCCTTCCTTTCTTCAAAATTACAGGAATGTGGGGAAAAAAGGAGTTAATTAGTTTTGATCTTGGTGAATGATTAATTTGTTAGCTAATTGCTTTAACCATTACATATGGCTATTTATGAATCATGTCTATCATGGTAACGCTAAGTACTGACTTAGAATAGAACCTGCTTTATTGTACTTTGTTCACATATAGTGTACATCACAGTTTGGCTCAAGACTTTTAAGGATCTTTACCACTCCTTTAAAATTAATGTGTTGGACTATAAACAGTACCAAAGTCATCCTGGCCAGCTCCCCCCCGCCCCCAAGCTGCTGAGCAGCTGCAGAAGGTATTGTTTTTCTGGAAAAGCAGGTGTTAAGTGTTTCCAATATTGGGTCTGCTTTTAGGAGTATCTTTAAGACATCCAGAAATACGAAGTTGTAGCCAGATTCTCATTAACTCAGTGTGAGTTTTACTGATGACTTCTTTTGAGGTTAGGCCCTGTGTAATCTTGTATTTTCTCCCTCTCATTTTGAGAATCTTCCTTGTATGATAAGCAGCTTCCTTGTCCCTGACTTTTTGAAAGGCAGCAGCTAATGAACACTTTTTTCACTTGAGCATCTGTCTTGTTTTATCCTCTCTGCAGTACCTCATGTATACTGGCCGTCTTGCAGAAGAAGTAGGAGAACATGGTTCTTTCTGCAAACAGTGTGAAATTTTATTATAATACAACTCAATGGAGAAAAATGGTGAGGGGCAGGGAATAAAAGGATATTAGCTATGGCAAAATTATATAGCTGCTGAAGCTGTTGGTGTGTGCTTTCCTGTTTGCTTGTCATCTTAAAATTTTATTTTAAACTAGACCATATATTTCAGAGAAGTGAGAAAGGGATAGAAGAAGACAGTCTGTAATAAAATTAAAACCCAACAGGAAGACTGGAAAAGGAGACATAGAGGACAGAAGAGGGAGGAGAGTATTGCTTATGCAACTGCAGCAGGATTAGTTGTCATGAACTGCAGAGAGGAGAAAGGGAATATGATTGAACTGAAGATAAGGGAGGGCAAACAAATAGGGGAGGAAGGGAACAGCAACGTGAAAACTAAGGAAAGCAAGAAAAAGAGTGAAAAAATCCTTAAGGGAATGTAAAAGTTAAGAGAAGATTTGTTTCCTGTTATGAAGTGTAGTTTGAAATGGGCTGGTACTATATGCTTGGGGGGAGAAACATTGATTTAAATGGCCTGCTAAAATAATGGACATTATATACTTGCTGCTTATGGGACAGCCCATGTAGTGCTGTCGGAATCCAGTTAGACAAGTACAGGTATCATCTGTGTATAGCCTGTAATTATTCCATGTTAATTGTACACCTCAGCAGAACTCATTGAAAAATAACTACGTATATACTGACTTCAAAGATTTTTCTTTTTATTTTTTGCATTTTTATTAAAAATTGGGCTATGGATATATGGGTTATGTCAGAAGAGGAACATGTGATACACACGGTGTTGCAATTTTTTTTTTTTTTCCATCTGTATTTTGTAAGCTCATAAAATGTAGTCTGAGACGAGACAGAACTGGCACTTCACTTTCTTGGCTTCCTTTTATTTTGGTGTTCCCTGTTCTGGATTATTGCTTTCCTGAGGCGTTGTGCTGGACTGGTGGATGAAAAAGAAACGAGCAATTACCTACCTGTACACTTCTCTTTCTTTTCCACTTTTTCTTACTCCTCTTCAAACGCCTACAAAACATCTGTTGAACATAACCATGTTGGTTTGTCCTAATTGGTGTGTGGTTTGAAGGAATGCTCTGATATCATGCCAAGTTCCTAGAAGTAGGAAATCTGATTTAAATTGCCTTATCTGGCTTTTAAAGTAATCACTTCCCTGCTCATCACTGTCATCCCCTCATAAACAATGCACACCCATTTCTCTTAAGGCTGCCTACTTGAAACGTGTTTGTGTGGCAATTGAGGTGGCATAAACTGCGTGAGTGTTGCCGTAACTCTTTGCTCCTGCTCTCTGTTGGTTGGGAAGCTGAGAATCACCGTGCACCAGAAAGCAGGTGTGTAGCTCCGGGAGGGGTAATTCCTTCCTAGCCACTGGGCAAATGAGTTTCTCAGCTGGAAGTACTGAAGCACAGAATCTCTGTGCTTTTATTGCTCTTCACTTGTGAAGCACGCTGTTGGAAGGAGACTTAAACTTCAGTAATCTAACAAGAAAAGAACATTTATTTTAGTGCCTACCCATCCACCTGACCCCTTCTTCACACTCAAATCCTGCTATATTTATTTTCAGCTTAGAGGTTACCTTTTTATGTGCTTTCATTGTTGTGAAGAAGCTAAACAAAAAATTTTATAATACCAAACTGTAAATCCTACAATACTTTAAATTTTTTTTTTAACTAATACAGTTTATTGTTGAGTTAAATGTATTTACTATGGGTGTGCACATACTAATGGTGGGAGAAAAAGTGCAACCTAATGCTTTTAAACTGCCCATGGCTCTGTATGTCAACAGGACCCCCATCACACCCCACCTCCCAACACACACAGCGTGTTCTCTTGCTGATGGCGCAGTAGGCCTTTTAAAGAAAATGGGGAGGTATCATGCTAAAATAGAGTTATCCGTTAATACATAAAGGGAATGGCAGCATTGGTTTTGGGAGGTGGAGGCCATTTCTGGCCCCAAGCCATAGGATTTGTTACCCCTACCACATAGGGAGTTCGTGTGCCCAAATGGAGGAGCTCTTGTGCATAAATATAAATTGGTATCTTTTGAAAACAGTCCCTTCTAGTTAGCAGAAAGCTCTTAGCTTTATTCTTCGTTTTCATGACTATGCAGAACTTCCTCCCCCTCTCCAGTATCTCAATCTAAAGGCACCCAGTCTAGATAAAAAAAATCTCCTTCTGCTTATTAAAAGTAGGCTGAAGTATCTGTTCTGCAAGTAGACTGTAGAGGTGTTACGGGTTTGTATACATGTGGTTTGAAGAGTTCAGTGCAAACCCTCCTGACAGAGGTGATCCTGCCAGAGGTACCTTTCGGTCCTGAGACCCAGTGAGATCTGATTTGCAGAAGTGCTCAGTGGTGGCACTTGCAAAATGTATCCTGGAGAGGTCGAATCTGGTCATAAACAGATGCCATGA